GAGGCTGAAAAACAGGAGGATCACTACGGGTCCAATCTGTGTAGTGAGACCCTGTAGACTCTGTACTAAAAAACAAAAAACAAACAAACAAACAAAAAACCCCACAGTCATCATCCCCTTTCCATGGCTGCTTCACATTCCCAAGCTGTAGATACCTCTGTAGGAACCACAGTAGCTCCCTAAACCCAGCCCATGCAAGACTACCCAGCAGAGTCGGCAGCGGACACCTTCCCAGAGCCTGCCAGCTGGGCCAGGGCAGATCGGGAGATTCTCTGGCTGCCAACGCTGGCCGCTGCCCAGCAGGCCTGGCTTCTGGAGGAGCTCCGCGGAAGCTTTCTAATTACACCCTAGTCCTTGCTCCCGGATGCTGTGCCAGGATTCCATGCTGAGGGGGCGGAGCCCTGCAATCTGGGGTGCTCTCTCTTTTCCTTCCTCTCCTTCTGGCCACCCCAGCTTTATGTAGAGTGCGGAGTTTTGCCAGGTGGTCAGGTGGGACATCCTATGGGCAGCCCTCCTGCATCTCTTCTGTTTGGGGTGGACAAATGTCCAACTGGTCAGCTGAATTCTGGGCGCTAATTCAGCTCATACTCCCAGCAGCCAAGGTCAGGTTGAAAGACAAGGCCTCTAAAGGCGGATGCACCTTTATTTTAATGCTGCCTGGCCATTAGTGGGTACAAGGAGCATAGCAAACAATAGGATTAATAATGGATAGTTATGTATTGATTCATTTATGATACTGGAAATTGAGCCCAAGGGGGCTTGACCACAAAGCTACATTCTCAGCACCTTTTTATTTCATTTTGAAACAGGATCTCACTAACCTGTCCAGGCTAGGCTTGCACTTGCCAGCCTCCTGCCTCCGCGTCCCAAGAGGCTGGGATTTCAGGTGTGTCCCACCACCTCTGCAACAGCGGACACTGATGAAGCTGCTTCTCTGTGCCAAGAGCTTTTGGTGCCAAGCTATTTACTCCTTATGACACCCCTATGCTGTCGACCCACTTACAGATGAGCACAGTGAGGATGCACAGAGAGCTTGACTAACTTCCTCAAGGTCATGCAGCCTAAGGGGGTGGTGAATGAAAGCAAGAGACAGGAAAAGGAATATTGTGGGACTGTCCTGCTTCAAGGTTGTATATGATGAGATTTTTGGACTTATGTGCAAACATGAGAAGTATAGAATTCTTTATCCTATTTTTAAAATATAATGTAATTTTTAAAATGTTTTTATCATATTATGCAGGGACTTAAAGTTCAACATATCAATACTTGATGAAAAATACCTGCTCCTTATTATGCCTAAGATGTTTGAAATGCAGTGAGATAGTGAGGTTAAGCTTAATAGCCTAAATCATTTGATAATAACAATAAGCTTGTCTTCTGGATGGTTAACAACCTAGTTTGCAGACCAAAATTAGAGAAAAAGGAGGGCTACAAGGAAAGCCAACATTTTGGCCCTAGCCTTCTAAGGTCAATTAAGACTCAGGACATATGAGAACTTGTACTGTAACGTCATGTACCTCGGTAGTGTCCCAAATTTTCTGATCAAGAAGATTATGGGGCCAAAGAGGAAAGTGATCGATGACGTAGAGTGTGCCTAAGGAGAGTCACATGGGGAGAAGACACTCCCTCAGGCTTTCACAGAGAGCACATTGGCCAAGCAATGGCCGTGACTCATCCACATGGCTGCACTGACAAAGGTTCTACAATCTGAGGTACAGGATCTCAGGATAAATCCTGAGGGCATTTCACTGACCTTATCAGTCCCAAAAGCTACAACTCTTGTTGCATAGGTCCTGCTTTACCTTGGTCTTAACCATCCAGTAGAAAAGTATGAAGACGAAATATAGGAAATAAAGCCATGCTGTTATGTTGAGCTGTGGGGGACTCAGGTCAATAATTTCTGACATTGCCAGTTAAACAGAAGACCCAATGCTATAATGGGCTACTGGACTCTTTTAGAATATTTTGCTGAGTTTACACACCTATAATATTCAATAATGGAACTTAGAAAAAATGGGGTATACCGATGAATGTCCATTTTGTATCTGTGTATTCAAAGTGGCCAGGATAGATATATAGTTGCATTCTCTTAATGAATAGAATGATTTGTTCTAATGGTGTTTGTAAATAGGATCACAAGTCCACTTCTTGTACAGCAATTAACCACTGAGAAGAATATATGCAGTGTATTATTTGTTGAAATTGTACTTCCGATTAGATTTGAAACTGTCTCATTGCTATCTGTTTATCAATAAAACTTTGAAAAAAAATAAAAAAAAAAAAAGGTCATGCAGCCTAGAAGCAGAGAAGCGGAGACGCGGGGAGCTGAACCCAAGCAAGGCGGTCCAAGCCTGTGCTTCTCGTGGTGATATGTTATCACTTCACTTGCCCGCATTTGGGAGGAAGAGGAGTAAGGACTAACGCTTCCTAAAATTGCCACTAGGCCTCATCTGCACGTTCACTCGGCCTCAGTATCATTACCATCTGGGCCTGAGTGGGTGTCCCGTGTGTGCCCCGGGGGGTCCTGAACTGGATCCCTGGTGTCCACCCAGTAGATGTCAGTAGAGCCCTCCTCCTAGAAGAGACAACCAAAAGTGTCTCCAGATGTTATCAAGGGTTCACCTCCCCCAAGTTGCCAAATATAATTACTGTTCACAAAATGCAGTAAATGCCATTACTAAAAATAAATCTATGAATTTTCTTTTTGTCTCCCTTGAGACAGTGTCATGCTGTGTAGCTCAGGCTGGCTTTGGACTCACTACGTAGCCAAGGCTGATTTCAAACTTGCAGGGAACCTCCTGTCTCAGCCTCTTCAGTGCTGGGATGACAGGCATGTACCACCACGAGGCAACATAAATGTATCAAGCTACTAGGGTCATGACAAAGACAAGGATCTAAACTCAGAGCAAGACTCGGCTCTGTGATAGGCAAACTCTATGCCCTCGGGCAAGTGATACTTTCTTGGTGCCTCAGCATTCTCTGCTAAAAGTCAGAGTGATTATTCTGGTCTCTTATGCAAAAGGCTTGGGACCAGAAGTGTTTCTCTCTTTTTCTTTTTTTCTTTTAGATATTGAAATATTTGCACAGAACTTACTGGTTATCTTTAATCCCAAAACCCCAAATCTAAAATGTTCCAAAATGTTTTTTAGCATCATATTAGCACTCAAAAATGTGTATTTTAAATGGGGTGTGATGGCAAACACCTGTAATTCTTGAGAGGCTGAAACAGGAGGATCTCAAGTTCAAGGACAGCCAGAGCTACATAGAAAGATCCTGTCTCAAAAAATATATATATTTCCAGATTTTGGGGCATTTCAGCTTTCAGCTTTTGGATTAGGAATATGCAATTGTAGTACATACTTCAATGGTTGTTTTTGGGATTTAATGAGCGCATACATGAATCACATTTGGGGTAGTGCCCGATACACAAGTCACTAATGTATTTTCTTTTCTTTTTTTAAATATATTTAGTACAGGGTCTCACTACACAACTCAGACTCATAGTGATCCTCTTGTTTTCAGCCTCCCAAACTCTGGAATTATGGGAGTGCGCCACCACATCCAGTCTCAATAGCCACTTTAGCATGCCCCAGGGGCAGGGCCAACCTGGCATGCTGGAGATCCAACCCCGCCCACTGTACGCTGCCTAAGCAGGCACTTTAGCCTGTGGCGGTATCTGGCCTGCATATATTTTCAAACTATGACATCCTAGTCATAGTGATGATTGTCTGTTACCTTCTCAGCACCCCATCTCTCTTCTACCTTCCTAACAGAATTATAAATGTATTTAGATATCTGGACCTTCCGTAGCTCCAGGAATACAGTCTGAGCCAATAGTTGGCAAAAGTGTGGTCTTCTGACTGACAGCATTGACGCCAACTGGGACTTGATAGAAATGCTATAATTGCTGTCCCAGCTCATACATGTCCTGTGCACCTCCCTGTGCCTGGCACTGTACAGAGCAAGTCGTCCTGTCACCTTCACTTACCATCCCATGAGGGTTGCATTAGGAGGAAGCGGATGCTTAGAGACCAACACATTTGCACAAGGTCGCACAGTCGAGTGACAGGGCTGAGCTCTGTCTACCTGGCTTCAGGCACACGTTCACGTGCCTCCCTGCCTCTGGAGCAAGTGCAGGTGGGTGGGAAGAGTCCCAGAAAGAGAGAGATGAGGCAGCCAGAGAGCACAACTGCAGAACATGCGTCTTATCAGAATGACGATTTAGAGCTCTTCGTGTTTACGCGACCCACATGTACAGTCAAGAGGATGGTAGCTTTCTATGCTGAAAGGATCAAGGACCCAAATGCCACTGAGGGGCCCTGCCCTTTAGCTCAGTTCTTTTGGGGCCTGCCCCTTAGCTCAGTTCTTTAAGTAGCTGCTTCAACAAAGCAGTCAGGCTCAGGTTGCTGTGGTTCGATCCCCACAACTCAAGCCAACCAAACATGCCCTGAAGGCATTCAGAGCCAGCCCCCCCCCCAAAAAAATCCTTCTGCCAAATGCCACTGAGCAAAACAACAGTGACATAAAACACAATGGGCACCACCCCAAGCTATGAAGCTAACAGATGGATGAAACTATAAGGGCCTCACTGAATCCCAGAGCTGGAAATTACTTTCTTCCTATTTGCAAACCTATTTCCTGTTACACCAGGGGCTTCCCCCTAAAAGCAGTCCCTGAAAGACTCAAACACAAACAGCTTATTCAGGTGTTGGTCCCAGTTGGAAGTCCTGTTGGGATTGTCATCCACCATCCCTCGCCCGCTTCAGCCTCACGGAGGGGAACGGTGGACATCCGGGGCCATGACTGGCATCAACGGTATCATCCATGTGCTGAAGTGCACATGGTCGGGCTCTTCAACGGGCAAAGCCCGAGGTGGCCTTGGGGTAGGTATTCTCACGGTCCTCCAACATCACCCCTCAGTCAGTTGCACAGTTGCTGTAGCAACCAAGGTCCTGCTACTTGAGGCAGCAGCGCAGCCAGCGGCAACCCAGAGGATGGGCTGGTGGAAGAGGTTGCCTTACCGTTTTCCTGCCGTACTGGTCGGAGATGTTCCCCCATAGTGTGGAGCTGGACATCATGCCTACAAAGACCACCTGCGGGAGGGAATAGTTTCTGTTAGACAGCCGGCCAGAGCAAGGAAGCAGGAATAGCGAGTCAGACCTTCGGCGCCCACCCTGGCCATACTGATGAGCCAGTGTTCTCTGTGAACCACCACATTGTAAACACTATGCGAGGTGCTGCAGGTTGTCGCTTGAGCCCCCAATGGTCACATGGGGTGGGTGTTGTCATTATCCCTATTTTATAGATTAGGGAATTAAAACTCAGAAAAGGGCAGACACCAACAAGTACAGCCCAGAGTGGAAGTAAATAGTCCGGCTCCACAGCTAGGTTTTTAACCAGTTTCTCATTACAACAAAGAAATGTCTTGCCCTAGTGCTAAGAAAAGACCAAGGGCCAGGTGTGATGGTAAATGTCTATAATCCCAGCCCTTAGGAGGCTGAGGTAGGAGGGTGGAAGGTTTAGGTCCCATCTGGGCAACTTAGCAAGACCCTGACTCAAAATATTAAAAAATAATAATAATAAACTAATAAAAGGACTTGGGATGCAACTTAGTGCAAGGGGCCTAGGTGTGATCCACAGTACTACAGAGAAAAGGAAGGAAAGGAGGGAGGGAGGAAAAAGAAAAGAACAAGGGTTAGAAGATATTTTGGAAGTTATGAGGATGCGTATGGGAGGAGCTATAAACCACATGTAAGAGACATCACTCTGGAGCACTTGCCTGGCGTCCACAAGGCCCTGTGTCCCCGGAGCACAGGAGGGCTGGGGGAGGGATGGGCCACTCGCAGGTTGCTCACTGTGCCCGGCCAACTTGTGGCCACTTCCTTAATCCTCAGATTAGCCGAGATGATGGAGTTTGCATGATCCCTCCACTGAGTGGAGGGCAAGTTGAGGCTCACACAGGCTCAGAGCCTGCTCAGTGTCCCCAAGAGGCGAGGGTAATGACAAGTCTTAATTCCAGGCAGGCTGATGGGGTCCTAAAACTGGGCTGCACCCTCAACAAGAGCTGAAGGTTTTCCGCACACATCTTTCTTGGTCCTCACACAGCCCCACAAGGTGGAGCTGTTAGATCCTAATTTTCCAGATAGGGCACCAGGAGGAAGGCCCCCGAGAAGAAGGCACTGTCTCAGTTCCCCTCTCTGGAGTGCCCCTCCTGGCAGGCCTTAGGGCAGGCAGCTACATCTGGGATCTGTCCTTTCATCTCTATGGGGAGGAGTTCCAGGACCCCTGTAGGCACCAGACCTGAGGATGCTTGGGTAGCTTGTATAAATCAGCTTAGCATTTGCAGGACTTCCTGTACATTTTAAACCATCTCTAGGTGACCTATAATCCCTAGTAGAATGTCAGTGCTATGTAAATAGTTGTTATCCTGTATTGGTTAGGGAATAGGGACAAGAAGAAATTGTCTGCATAAGTTCAGTACACACACACACACACACACACACACACACACACACAAACACACATATTTTTTTCTTTTAATAGCTTCCATCTGTGATTGGTTGAACGAATGAATTCAGAGCTTGCTGATAAGGAGGGCCAACCTGGGTCTGGGTTGGAGGTACTCAGCAGTAGACCTCCCTGGAGTGCTACAAAAGCCATACATTTCGGGTTGGGGAGACAGCTCAATAGAAAAGCGCCTGCCTCACAAGCATGGGGCCCTGAGTTCAATACCCCGGTACCGCAAAAAAAAGGACATTAGTAGGGCCGGCCAGATAGCTCAGCAGACTAAAGCACCTGCTTAGGCAGAGCAGAGCGGCTGGCTGGGATTCCTCCCTCCCCTTGGCCGAGTCCAATCCCCGCCCCCTGCCTTGCTGGCCCTGTCCCTAGGGTATGCTGAGACTGCAATTGAGACGGGGCGTGGTGATGTGCACCTTTAATCCCAGTGCTTGGGAGGCTGAAAACAGGAGAATCACTATGAGTCTGATCTGTGTAGTGAGACCCTGTAGGCCCTGTAAACCCTGTACCAAATACATTTTTAAAAAAGCCATGCATTTCATCCCCAGCATAGCAAAAACAAAATTAAAAAAGGAGGGCCCACTATGCTCTCGGCACTCCAAGGAAGAAACAAGATAAGGGGTACCTTAAAGGAATTAATTTCCAAGTCCTCAGCTTCCCTAAAGATTTTCCCAGGATCAAGTTAGGGGTCTGGCCGGGGTCCTGATACTGTCTCTCCCTCTTTCATGGCTCTCTCTTCCCGTCTTACCCACATACCTCAAAACATTTTACTTTGCCGTGTGAACTCTTCAGGATGCCGCAGGAAGGTGCACAAATGCTTCTGCAAGTCATCTAGTCTCAGTACTATTATGACTGTCCTCGTTATTTTGTTTGTGAACTCAGGATCTACTGTGTGGCAAGCCAGCACTGTATCACTGATCCACAGCCCTAAGTTCTTAAAGAGGGAGAGGTTTATTTTGGCTCACAGTTTTAGAGGAGTTCATCCATAGTCAGCCAGCTAAAGGGGAAATGGCATGCCAGAGGGCGTGCTGGGGAAAGCTGTCTATCCTATGGCAGCCAAGAAACAGAGAAAGAAGGGACAATCTGGGGACAAGACTATACATTTCTAGCTCTTTTTTTTTTTTTTTTTTTCTGTTTTAGGGAAGGGTCTACAGGGTGTTCAGGGTCTCACTACTAGATCGGACTCATATTGATCCTCCTGTTTACAGCCTCCCAAGAGCTGGGATTACAGGCGTGCACCACCACGCCCAATCTCAATTTCAGTCTCAATGTGCCTTGGGGACAGGGTCAGCAGGCTCCAGCTCCTCCTTTTTTAAAAAAATTATTTTTATTGGCGTTTGGTTGCAGTCCATAACATTTACATTCCTTGTGTGGAGTTGGTTCACATACATGACTCATCTTTATTCCTTTTTTCATTCCCTTTCCTTCCCCTCCAACTCTTTTTTGACTCTTTATTTTGAGACAGGGTCTCACTACGTTCACTCAGGCTGGCCTCCAACTTGCCTCCTCCCACCTTTGCCTCCAGAGTAACTGAAATTGTAGACATGTGCCCGGCTCCCTCTTTCTTTTTGTCCTTTGGTACTAGGAATGTAACTCATGACCTCCAGCTTGCCAGGCAGGAACTGTGCTGTGGGCTACATCCCTGGGCCCCCAGCACCTTTAATCATTACTTGTAACAAAGCTAAAGGATAACCTAAGCAAGTGCTCAGAAAATTAGAGTGCTAAAAGTAATTGTTTTTTTTTTTAATTTTATTTATTTATTTATTAGAGAGAGAGAGAGAGAGAGAGAGAGAGAGAGTGTGGTGTGTGTGTGTGTGTGTGGCCAGCTCAGCCCACCAGGGGGCGGGGCTGGCTGGCATGTGGTGCTGGGGGATCGAACCGCGGTCCCTGATGCTTTGCTATGCTTGTTCTAAGTAGGTGCTTTAGACCACTGAGCCATCTCTCCAGCCCCTAAAAGTAACTGTTAGTAAACAAAGAATGGTGTGCTCTTTGGTACCTAACTTGGGAGCTTGTTTGTGGGTTTCAACAGGGGAGCACAGCTTCTCGAGTACCCCTGGCCAAGGAAATGGCCCTCCTCTATCCGAGGGGTCATCCTCTTTGACCAAGCCAGCACACAACTTCAAGAGGGACACCCATGGGGTGGTGAGGTTGGGAGGGGTCACCCGCCCATCCAGCCAGATCAGCTAAATCCACTCTGGTGATCAGTGGGGTGACATGGTACAGCCAGGTCTTGCTCACATTCATTTGGCATGTAACCTGGAAGTTGTTTTAAACACTCAGGTACCATTAGTTTATTATTATTATTATTATTATTATTATTATTATTAAATGTGTTTAGTACAGGGTCTACAGGGTCTCACTACAGAGACTGGACTTGCAGTGATCCTTCCTGTTTTTCAGCCTCCCAAGTGCTGGGATTACAGGTGCATGCCTCCACACCCCAGGGGCAGGGCGGCACACACCATTAGTTTATTGAATTATGACAAAATTGCTACAGTTCCCCCAAACTTTTTTTTTTTTTTTTTTTTTTTTTTTGAGACAAGGTCTCACTATATAGTTCAGGTTTGGCCTTGAACTCACTCTGCAGCCCAAGCTGGCCTCAAACTCATGGTGATTTTCTTGCCTCAGCCTCCCAGTGCTGGGATTACAGGCTTGAGCCAATATGCCCGGTTCCCAAAACTTTTTGATTAATGTGAACAAAAGCCTTTCTTTTCTTTTCTTTTCTTTTCTTTTCTTTTCTTTTCTTTTCTTTTCTTTTCTTTTCTTTTCTTTTCTTTTCTTTTCTTTTCTTTTCTTTGTGGCCAGCTCAGCCCACCCTTGGGGCAGGGCTGCCACAGCATGTGGTACTGGGGATCAAACAGTGGTCCCTGTGCTTGCCTAAGCTTGCCTGAGCAGGTGCTTTACACCACTGAACTATCTTACTGGCCCCACCTTTTCATATTTATATCCATTAAGTAAAAGTGACAGAGAAATAGAATTGGTGTTGAATTCCATTTCACTTGAGCAATAAGTAATCATCCAAGAATGCATGAAATATTCTGGAAAACATTCCATTTTTCTCACTAGGGGGCTCCTTCCTTGTAAAAATTTACTTATTGTTTAACAGTCACTTGTCACAACTAATACTATCTTGTGTTGATTTATTGTGTACCACTCAAAATTACAATGATAACACAGTGCAGGAGAAACATTTTAATCATTAGAGAAGCCTCATCTCAGAAAATTAGAAATAATAATTTAATCTTCATAGATTTTGTGATGAATGTGATATTTTCTGGTATAATCAAGCATTAAATGAATTTAAATTATAGAAAGAAATGCAATGGAAATACCTATTTTCATGGGAAAATAACACAATGTAAAATTAAAAAATTCTTCTGAAGTTTATTCATGATACTTTTTTCCAGTACCAAGGATTGAACCCAGAGACTTCACACTGAGCTACATCTCCAATTTTTTTTTTTTTTTT